CTCTGGGCACCCTGTGCCAGCGCCTCAGCACCCTCACAGGGAAGAATTTCTTCCGTATGTCTAACCTAAATCTCCCCTGTATAAGCTTGAGCCCATCACCCCTTGTCCTGTCACTACAGACCCTGAATAAGGTCCCTCTCTGGCATCCTTGTAGGCCCCCTTCGTATACTAGAGGGCTACTATAGAGTGTCCAAGCAGCTTCTCTTCTCCAGGCTGAACAGCCCCAATTTTCTCCGTCTGTCTTTGTATGGGAGGTGCTCCAGCTCCCTCATCATCCTCATCCAGACTTGGTCCAACAGCTCCATGTCCTTCTTATGTTGGAGACACCAGAACCATACACAGCGCTGCAAGTGGGGTCTCACGAGAGCAGAGTAGAGGGGCAGGAACACCCCCTTTGACCCGATCGTGCTCCCTTTGTTCACCGGCAAAACCTAGGGAGAAGGGGAACGGGGTGGTGAGCCCAAGCAGAACTCGGAGGTTGTTAACCCCTCTCTCTTCTTCTTTCTTTCCTCCCTCCCTTGTCCTTACCCCTCCAGAATCACACGCCCTGGACGGCGATGAGAGGCCTTGCTCCGCCGCCGACGCCGCGGTCACGTTCTCAGCCTTGACGACAGCTCAGAAGGAAAACCACGCGTGCCACCGGGCGCTGCCTCCCCTGACGTCCAAGAAGCCCTGCTTGCTGAGCCCCCCGTCGCCGCTGCGGCTCACGGATGTCCCCGAGCACGCCTCGGATGACTCCTCTGCCCACGCCATCTCCCTCACGTCCTGCGTGACGAAGGGCATGAGCTCCTGGTCGCTGCCGGGCGACTGCGAGAAGGCTCCTTTCACCATGATGGAGCCTGGAGGCATGTCAGCGTTGACGGGCGACTGCTTGATGCAGCCGAGCCGGACCTGTCTGGGCTGCTTTATTGAATCAAAGGACGGCATTGATGCAGAGCCGGGAATAAGCTTGAAAGTGGGGGATATAAATAGGGATTATGACACCTGTTCAGTCTCTGATATAGGGATTCACTGCATGAGCACAGGAGAAACCATGAGATATGGGGATCAACTGCTTTCAGACCAGCTTTTAAGCTTCCCTATGCATAAATCGAGGGCAGCGGACAAAAGAGATGCAGAAAAATCTGACAGTGATTCAGAGGACCCCACTCAGAAAAATTATTACGAGGGATTACTATTAGACAAATGCAATGGTGAGGAACCTTTACTAACAAATCCCAACCAGGAATGGGGCTATTTTGAATCTTTCATTAGTGAAAGTAAAATTGAGCTGCTTGACCTCTGCTCCAAAAATGAGCTTTCTGTAAATCTGTTTTCTGAGGAAGATGTGGATAATTACATGTTCGATGACGACGATTCCACCTTGGGAAGCGATGTCTGCTCCCTAAAGATTAGATACGAATCTTTCCAGGACAACGTGCGAGAGAAGACCACCACTCTACAGGAGGATGCCCAGTTCAACTTCTTCCCCAGCGTGTTTGGGAACTGCACCAAAAGGGACAGCAGGAGCACCCTGAAAAGGGGGCCCAGCGGTGCCACAGACCCTTCTCAATTCAAATCTGAAGAAGGCATCATCTGGGGGGAGGAGGAGGAGGATGGTGAGGAAGAGGACGGCGAGGAGGAGGAAAAAGCTGCCTTAAATAAATCTTGCAACAGCACGGAGATGGTGCAGTACGTGGGCTCCAAGAGGAGCCACTTCTTGGACTCGGTGAATTCCACGGAAGACTCCGGGGAGTTCAGTGATGACAGCACTTGCACGGAGTCCTCCTACGACGTGCTGCGGGATATCAAGGACTGCAGCCGGTACCTGTCCCGGGACCACTCCGGCTCCTTCATTCAGCAGAACTATGGGTTGCGGGCGAAGAGGAAAGTGCGATACAGCGACGACTACCTGTACGATGTGGACTCCATTGAGAACGAGAAGATCCTGGACAAGAAGGAGTGGCTCCCAGATGGGCCCAAGGAAGAGGATGATGATGAGTGGTGCCCCAAGAAACGGCGAAAAGTCTCTCGCAAGGAGCCCCCCGTTATCATCAAGTACATCATCATTAACAGGTTTAAAGGGGAGAAGCATATGCTGGTGAAGCTCAGCAAAGTGGATGCCAACGAGACAACTGTTACCCTAAACGAGGAACTGCTCAGCAAATACAAGAAGCTGGCCCCACTGAAGGGCTTCTGGCAAGAGAGGCAGCAGAGCCGGCTGGATTTGCTCAGATCGTCTCTCTACCACAAGCAGAATTTCTATCTTAACGGCTCAGATGCTTCATTCCTCCCTCACCCACGGAAGCGAAAATGCAAGCTAGCAAACAGGCACCGGATTCAAAGAATTAAAGCCATCGAGCAGTCAGTGAACAAGCTGGGCTCTTGCTCCTCTGATCACAAGCAGCCTTGCAGCAGTAAAGAGGACGCAGGCCTGAAAGGGCTGCCGACGTTGGCCATCGCTACCCCCAGCTGCGCCAACGGATTGCACGTGCATGACATCCCGGGCATCGCTGCCGTGAAATGCAAACCCCAGGATCGGGAGCACAAGGGGACGGAGAGGAAAGTGCTCCGCAGAATCAAATTCAAAAGTGAAGCCAGGTTGAAGTGCAAGAAGATCAAAGCTGCTACCAGCACAGCGGAGGGTTCCCCGGCGCTGGAAAACCAGGACTCTGCAGCGCGTCTGAAGGACGAAAACATACCCTGTGCTTCAGACAGCTCCCATCTCCCGGAGTGCCACGAGGATAAGGTTGCTAAAAATTCTCCTTTCCTACCATCCACCTCCTCTTCAGACAAGCCTCTGCCATCTGCTAATATCACCACCAATGTACCCCTGATCCCCGGAGGGTATCTGCAGACGTTGTTAGATGCTTCTGATTTGTCGAGCAACACCGGTATCTCATACTTCACCCAGCATCCCTCCGAGCAGCAGCAGCAGCACCCGCTCCCCAGCATCGTCCCAGCGGAAAAGCCCTTCCCGGCCCTGCAGCCGGCGCAGAGCTGTGTGCTCTCCCCACCCTCCGAGTCGGAGCTGCAGCAATCTCCTGGCCACTTGGAGATGGAGCAGAGCAGCTTCGGTAGCATGTGGCCGGCCAGC